TAAGAATGCTGTCAAAACATGAAAACTGGTAGTACCTTAATACATTATTTTTTCCCTATTAGTACAATCTAGGACAGAAAGAAATGGCCATGGCAAGCAATTTCAGCACATCCTCATCAAAAGCTTTATTCTTTGTCTTCTTGTGTGCATATACATGTGTGAGGCTAGACAAGAAGGGCTTAACGATTAGGCTAGGCTGACTAGCCAGCGAATACCTGTTTCCATCTTCTCAATGCTGGGATTACAAGCCTGCATACACCACTGCACATAGATTTTCATTGTGAGTTGTGGTACCAAACTCACTCTCATGCTTGCACAATGAGCCCTTTACTAACTGAGACATCTCTTCAGCACACAAGACCTTTAAATAAGCTTCATGAGTGCAACATCCATTCATCGTTACTCTCTTACATTCCTCTGAAGTGTACTTCTAGTTTTTCACTGGAAATTCACAGAACTCAGATTTTTTTTTTAAACTCACTGTAATCAAGAACTCAGATATTTTTAATTTCAATCCACAACTACATTATTGGTGGCTACTTCCATTTATCAGCCATTTCACTAAAGACAGACATATATTTAAAAAGCATATGCTACTTTGTTCCCACAACTCTGGATCTGGTGTGTAACCAAATCCATTTCATACTCTACACATTTTAGGTTTTTATTTTTAGCTCTAATACCCAGTTACTATTGTTTAAACTTTTTATTATAGATTCCTTTTGATATTGGTACTTATAAAATGCTGCCAGGTGAGTGCATATATGCTACTTAGTTACTGAAGAATGGTCTAACTTGATGACTACTTAGAAAAAAATTCAATCTCTTTCAAAATGAAAAAAAAAGTATAAAATTTAATGCCAACCATAAAATAGTATTTAAATAATTTTAAAGGAGAAATGCTCAGTGTAGTGTAAAATCCATATTTTCAACTCAGCACATCTTGAAAAATTCACCTTATTTATAAAACTCTTTCTACACATCTAAGCGTCACTTGTACTTTGTTACATTTTCCCCTAGTTTTTATCATCTATTTTCTTTTAAATATTAATGTAACCTATGTCAAATGCCAGAAATATAGAATGAGTTTTTAATGACATCTATCTCCGGATGATTATAAAAGAATAAAAGAATTACAATATGTTCCTTTTAGGTAACATATTAAAAGAAATTAAGAAAAGAGAATATTGATTGTTCTCCAATGTATTTTGACATTTCCATTAAATTATTTATGTTAAAATATAAGTGATTAAAAACATGTGTTGAAAACCTTTAAATAGCTGGGCGGTGGTGGCACACACCTTTAATCCCATCGCTTGGGAGGCAGAGGCAGGTGGATTTCTGAGTTTGAGGCCAGCCTGGTCTACAGAGTGAGTTCCAGGACAGCCAGGACTATACAGAGAAACCCTGTCTCGAAAAACAAAACAAAACAAAAAAACAAAAACAAAAAAAACAAAAAAAAGAAAAAGAAAAGAAAAAGAAAACCTTTAAATTCATTTCGTGTATTTTACCTGTCAGTTCTAGTTTCTTACGTGAGTAGACACTGTCATTTCACTTTTATTTTATGTATGCAGCCAATCCTTTTTGAAATAAATGTAATGATGACCAAAATAGGGCTTAGTATCACAATGCAGCAAGAGGTAACACCAACCCCCCTCCACACACACACACACACACACACACACACACACACTTTATTTCTGAATAGAAAAGCTATCATGTTTAAAAATTTAGTATCAGAGGTAACACCATGTCCAACAACTCTGGAATACAGGGCTTCATGGAGGCCTCTGGCATGAGTATATGAGAGGTAGGTGGGAAACTATTAAGAAGGATGGGAGCCTGAAAAAGGATCTTTGCTTTAAATTATTTGTTATAATATAAAAATATAGGGAAGCATTTATTTTATTCTGTGTAAAAGATGCTGGATTCAATGGAGAGAGTTGAGTGAATAAGTGAACGATGATGCAGGGGCATGGAGGTGGGGATATCACCATTTTAACTAGACACTGTACATTCTTTGTGAAGACATTACAGGAACAATATTATTTATGTAAGACAAGGTCCCACTGTGTAGCACTGGCTGGCCTGAAACTTACTATGTAAACCAGACTAGCCTTAGGCTCACTAAGGTCTATCTGTTTCTGGCTCTTGAGTGCTGGAATTAAAGGTAGGTGCCATCAGATCCAGAATGAGACACTGTTAAACTCTAAATTTATAACTTCACAGCCTTTTGAATATGACTATGTCTAAGTCCTGGGAGCTTGGAGCAGAACCATATATGTGCCTACAACTGATTAATGGTGGGTCTTTGTTCATAAGGTTTCTCTAAAACACATTGTCATTATGTGAATACTTCAGATTTTCTTCTATTCCTCAGATATAATGAGAAATGTGTGGCATAGGAATAGGTCTCACATTAAAACTACTCTTTGTAAACCTATACTAGCTTTGAGTCTACTTTCAATTTGATAATATTAGGCTATCCTGGAAATAAAGCAGTGTCTTAGTGGGCCCTTACAAGTTCAAGCAGAAACACAAAGCTAGAGGAACTCGCTTCCAAAGAGGCCAGTGAAATAAAAAAAAAAAAAACAAAACTTCAGTGAGATAGCTGTGCTCTGTCCTATGCCATGGAGCCATTTCCCACCCTGCTCACTGGGTGCAATTTCAGCATATGAAACCTTATCCAGCAATGCCAATTCCCAAATTCACTCCTTTCACTAGTGTAAAAAAAAAAAATGTAAGCAGGATCAACTCAATCTGTCTCTTGAAATTTGGAATTGTAAAATTTGAGTAAACCAACCAATAGTGGTACTCAAAGCTATGGGCTCACAATGTAGGGGTCCTGTTTGTAAAACCATAAGAACAGAACAGGTGCTGCTTAGGAGGAAGTAGCTATCTAGACTCTCATTTCACAGAGGAGAGTGCATGTTATAGAGAGTAATAAGACTGTAGAACACTTTACCCGATTTCTTCTTTACACCCTTGAGGGTAAAGACCTCTTAACTGTCCAAAGCAAATTCCCTGTGTTTGCCATCCAGGTCACTCCTCTTTTCAGTCCTGTCTTCCTCCCTTTCTGTGACCCGAGTGTAATTGTCTTGCCAGCAAGAACACACGCAGACACCAGGATCCTTCCGCAGCAAACCTTTTATTGCGATGAAAGGAGGAAGACCCCGGCCCGAAAAGGCACTGTTTATATACCCTTGGAGCGGCGTGTTCATTTCTGATTGGCTGCTTACTCGTTACCCGCCAAAACGCCCCGGGATGGGCTGTGATTTGGCGTGCGCTCACTTCCCGCACATGCGCAACAGCTTGTTTATGGGGATGGGCAGCGGATGTCAGCGCCATCTTGTAATGGCGATTGGTCTCGCTGCCGGCACTACGGCGGTAGCGGCTTCCTACACCTTTCATCCATAATAATTTGTCCTATTTCCACACAGAATCTGAGGCATATTTACTCTAATATTTAGATGTTCACAAACTTATAAAGCCTACTTATAAATCCTAGAAAATATTTTGATATTAGAGTGCAAGTGTTAGGAGCGAATTTGTAGCTTATTTTATTTTACATGATAGTAACTGAATTCTATCCACATTTTCACAGGGTTGTTGAGGCAGGTATTCAAAGAATCAAAACACTAAGATAACTACTCTACTACTACTAACTACTACATTTTGATGACGGCAGTAATAAATTTCAAATTCTTGGTCTAGTAGACCTCAGTGGATAAATATAAGAGTATAAATACAATGTTTGAGCTTTGGTCTAAGACCATTACAAAGAGAATTCAAGTAACAATGTTAGTGTCTGATACTTCTGTAGCCTTTTACAGTTTATAAATAATTTTCACATTTTATTCAATGCTTCCAATCTCTGAATCAAGCATTAACTGTATTTCAATAAGAAAGCTGAGTGAATTAAGGAACACAGGCAAAGATAAGATGTAAATAAATACAAACTATGATTTGTAAGATATTATATTTAAGATTAGTGTCAATGAGCTTTTTGGTTTATAAATACAGGTTCATAAACAGGGTATTAAGACACTTAAATGGCTATATTATAATGGTGAGTTACATATATAAAGTACTGAGATATATGTTTTCTTTCAACTTTAAAGTATCTCTCTTGACAGCTGAGTTCAACAGAAATAAAATTCTAATAGTGGTATTTTCCTTTATATTACAGGTACATAACTACAGCCAAATGGTTGTACAACACAGAAACTATATTGAGGATAATCTAATAGTTAATACTAAATTCTAGCCATCATTTACTATTAGTATGTATCATCATGCAGAAAATCTGTTCTAGGCTGGGTGGTGGTGGCGCACGCCTTTAATCCCAGCACTTGGGAGGCAGAGGTAGGTGGATTTCTGAGTTCGAGGCCAGCCTGGTCTACAGAGTGAGTTCTAGGACAGCCAGGGCTACACAGAGAAACCTTGTCTCGACAAACAAACAAACAAACAAACAAACAAGAAAGAAAATCTGTTCTAAGCAAAGTATCTTCAAAGAAACAGAATTTTAATGATATAGTAAATGCTCTTAGTTTACAGATTAGGGACTGAGGCTCCCCTTTTCCTCCAAGTCCTGAGGGTAGACCACCAAGGCCTGTGCAAACCAGGCAAGTGCTTTATCACAGAGCTATATATAACCCTAGCCTTCTGATGGTCGAGATACTAGCTTGTTCAAGTCATATGCAAGTAGCATTGCCAGCTGTAGTCTGGGCAGATTTTACTTCATTTTTTAAAAAATTTTTTATAAATATTACCATTTTAAGTATAATAGGGAAATTGTCAAGTAATAAAACTATTTCTTCAGCCAAACAACTCTTCTAGTTTCCCCTTTAACAACAAGCACTGTAAGAACAGTACGCTGTTTGTAACATCAGAGCACTTTAATAGCTTCAAAGAACTTTATCTACAGGACAAAGTTCACTTCACATGACTTGATTCATCTGTAAAAAGCTGACACAAAAGTCACAGCTTTAAAAACTTCTTTATATGATAGTGACTCCATACATTGTGAAATAGTTTTCTATTATCTTGACATTTTCTTCAGATAGCCAGTTCTCCTGTTGTAGTTGGTTTATAAGAGTCAAAGAGTCAAACTTTCATCTTCCTATTTTTGCTCTTATGCTCAAGAACATTAATCTTTGAGTAAAGGTTAGATTTTTTTTTTTTGCCAAAGATATCCTTTATTTGTGTCTTGCCTGCAGCATGAATGTTCAATTCGTAAAATTTCAGCACTTTGGTGTATATCCTTATATAAGGACTCTTCAATGTCTGTGTCTTTCATTTCTACAACTTTCTTGGGAGCTGGTAGAAAAGAATGTTAATTAACAGGTTTAGAATTTTCTGTGGGTATAAAATAGTTATAAAGAATTTGTTATTTATGTTTAATTCTTTAACTGTGCTTAAGAGGGATGAATTTTCCTGACCTCACACAGCTTCTATGGAATTATTTGTAAGGTTTGGATTAACAAGAATGATTGGTAATGATGTCTTCTGAATTTGAAGTTGTCAAAGCACTAGTTGTAGAACTTAGATTTTTAAAAGATGCACAAAATCCAACTACATCTAAATCTTGATTCATTGATGTTTTTTAAGGTATCTTGTTTAAGAGTTAATATTTTAGTGTGTAGACTTTCTACTCTTGGAGCTGGTGGCTTTATCAGGCTGATGAACCAAGATATTCTGCATGTTCAGGGAGAACTTCTATGTCACCTATATTTTCCTTTGCTTCATTTGATATAAATGATTTTTTTTTTTTTTGGTTTCTTGAGACAGGGTTTCTCTGTGCAGCCCTAGCTGTCCTGGAACTCACTCTGTAGACCAGGCTGGCCTCGAACTCAGAAATCCACCTGCCTCTGCCTCCCAAGTGCTGGGATTAAAGGCATGTACCACCACTGCTCAGAGATATAAATGATTCTTAAGACTTAGCTTTAAGGCATACTTCTTTCTCATCTTTCAGTTTTCTCTTCTGAGACTTTTTTCCTAGCAGTATCTTCTCCCTAGAAAATATTTTAAATTCTGAAAAATATATAGACTCTCATCAGTTAGAACTATGTAGCTCTAACTTTGAGTAGTATACTGGCTAAACAAACTTATTTAAACTTAATATATCTTAATATATCTTTAATTAATAATATATCTTTAATTAATTTTTAAGTTTTCATTCAAATCTATTTTATACAGGACAATTCAAATTGTTTGCTGTCTTCAATTTTAGGCAATATTGAACATTAGGCTCTTATATTAACATTTTAGTCAATTTTAATTTTTTTTTCAGACAAGATCAATGTGTAGGCCAGGCTGGCTTCAATTTCATGATCTCCTGATTAATTGTGAGTGCTGGGATTACAGACAGGTATGTCCCGTCCTGCCCAGCTTGTGTTACTATTTAAATGAGAAATCAATTGAAACAAATTCTTTATATGAAAGTAAATACTCCATCCTCTTTATTACTGAAATCGACCTCAGCTCTACTTGCGTACAATTTAGTGGGCTGTTTCTAGATGTTGATACCACTGCTTAAGAACGGTAACAGTCAAGTTCTGAAAGAGAAACTCTGACGCAAAGGAACTGACTATGTTTATGTGCTGAGCCTCCCTTAGGCGTGGTGACACATCCTGAAATCTCAGCACTTGGTTGGCTAAGGCAGGAGACTTGGCTTTTTGTTCCTGTATTGACAACTGGAATTTGACTCTGATAATAGAAATGTGTTTTATAGGCAAAAGTGTATCAATGGCAGTGGCAGAATTTGACAGAAAAATGTTCCTACTAGTTTAAAATGTAAGTACATTAAGCAATAGTTGACAATAATTTATATTTCATTAAGGGACTTCCCGAAAACATAGACCATGTAATATACTATATAAGTTCATGTTCCTTTATGTATTTACAATATAAATCATCTTACACAAAACATAACTGTTATAATCGCCCTTCAATCTCAACTAATTTAGTTTATACTCAGTAAAATTAGCAATTTTCTCCCCTCAGGTTTTACTAAGTTTGTAAAATCCTAGCAGAGCCTGAGTAACTTTTAACACTGACAACTCCATGTAGAAAAATCTATGTAAAAATGGGTAGTTATTTTAGAACACTAGCCAGTTCTATTAACTCCCTGCCAGCCCTCCTCCCAGTTTCCAGCTGGGCTCCCTCAAGCATTTCCTTCTCAGTTCCCCAACAGTGTACTTAAATAGTCCCTCCATCCAGTTTTCCCAATGCTAGCAGCTCTTCACTATAACAACTGTTCTAGTCTAGTTGCTCAGCTCAGCCTCTCCTGGCTCAACTGTCTCATAACAACATCTCCACCAACTGCCTTCTCTTCTCGCTCTGCTATCCCCGTCGCCCCCCCCCTCCTTCCCCAGGCTCAGATGGCTTTTTTTTTTCTTTTTAAAAGATTTACTTATTTTGTGTATGTGAGTACACTGTCGCTGTTTTCAGATACACCAGAAGAGGACATCAGATCTCATTATAGATGGTTGTGAGCCACCATGCGGTTGCTGAGAATTGAATGAACTCAGGATCTCTGGAAGAGCAGACAGTGCTCTTAACCACTGACCCATCTCTCCAGCTCCTCAGGTGGCTTTTTAAATATCCTACTCTGTTCCCAGAAATCTGAGAGGCAACCAACATTGAAAGTCATACCATCAAGCAGTTCTAACAGGTAAGAATTCTTATAAAGGGCCAGTTGACTAGCAACTGGGGAATCCTTTAAATAAATGGCCAGGTGTACAAGATAATTCACACTTCTGGGAGTTCTCACCAAAAAAAATAACGTTTTTGAAAAATCATTCAACTTTACACATAAATAAATTGGGTTTGAAGTATGACAGGCATAACATTTAAGGCATTTTAAGGCTTTTGTTACGTATCTAAAATGAGAATATAACTTTTACAATACTTTCTGTAAATTCATGTGGACAATGCAGCATGCAAATTATTTCCTGTACCTACATGCAAAGATATGTATAAAATCGTTAAAAGTATCCTTTGTGAGTATCTTTTATTGGTAACTGGATTGCACTATATCTCTGACCTACTCAGCCATGTATACTGACTGGTTGTATGTCAACTTGATATGTTAGTCATTAGAGAAGGAGCCTCAGTTGACAAAATGCCTTCATGAGACCCAACTGTATGGCCTTTTCTTAATTAGTGATCTATGGGAGGTGGGCAGTCCATGGTGGGTGGTGCTATCTCTGGGCTGGTGGTTCTGGATTCTGTAAGAAAGTGTGCTGAGCAAGCCTGGAGGAGCAAGTCAGCGACAAACACCCTCCATGGCCTCTGCCTCAGCTCCTGCCTCCAAGTTCCTTATCTACTTGGGTTTCTGTCATGACTTTTTTCAGTGATGAACGGGAATGTTAAAAGTGCAAACAGAATAAACCCATTCTTCCTAACTTACTTTTTGGTTATGATGTTTTGTGGCAGCAATAGAAACCCTAACTAAGACAAGGTGGTACTAGTATAGCCAGGTATTGCAGTGACAGACCAGACTATATTTTTGGGAGGATTGTGGAAAGACTTTGGGACTTTGACCTAGAAAAGCCATTGAGTACTGAGACCTCAGTGAGATGTTCTGTATCTCAGACGATAAGAATGCTGAGAGCACTACAGAAGATGGAGGCTTGGCTTGTGAAATTTCAGAGGGAAGATTAAAGTCTCTATCAGGGCTATTTTCTATTTTGACAAGATTCTGTAGTTCTGGTTAGTTGAGGTCTGAAGAATCAAATGTGATTAACAAGATACTAGAACTACTGAAGTCAAACCTTTAAGTTACTGGCACAAGTGATGAAAATTAGAAAAGAAAGAAATTAGAAAAGAAATTAGAAAAGCATTAAGAAGAGACCAGCATCTCTGAAGTGAAATCTTCTGGGGAGTGTTTTCTGAGAGCACAGATAAGCTGTGTTTCAGAGGTAGACAAGGTTGTACCTCATACTATTAGCTGGACTTGGTAATATGTAAGAGTCACCCAGGTGGTACTGGTTTTGAAGACATGAGGGGGTCATGGAGAGGAACTGGGGCTTGGCACAGGGGAGGCCATTGGTGAAGGTACAGCTTCAGTGGCCCAAGACTGAGGTCATGAAAAGAAGTTGAGGCTTGGTACCATGAAGAGAGCCTATGAGATGTTATTGGTGAAAGTGCAACCCAGTTGCCGCGGAAGGCTCCAGCATTTTGTTGGAGATGGGTAACCCACCAAGAACAATAGCAGCAGAATAGTAGAATCAGCTAGAGCCTCGAAGGAAGACAAGCTGTGTGCTATAGAGGGCAGAGCTGGAGAAGTTATCCAAGCTCTTTGGAGAAGTCCAGAAGATCATGAGTGGATCCTAGACATTTGACAGTTGTAGTTTGATTTTGGTTTGATTTGATTGTGACTGTGCCCTGATTTTTCTGTCTTGAAGTAACTTATTTTACTGGAGCCCACAGTTATGAAATTTTGAATGTTAAAGGACTTTGGATTTTAATATGAGATTTTGGGGATGAATGAGAAAAACATGGATTATGGCTTAATAGTGATGTCTTTGTATGTCACCCTAACACAAGTTAGAATTAGCCATCAGAGAGGAAGGAATCTGAATTGAGAATGCCTATATAAGATACAGCTCTAAGGCATTTTTAAAATTAGTGATCAATGTGGGAGGCGCCCAGCCCACTGTGGGTGGTGCCATCCCTGGGCTGGTGGTCCTGGATTCTATAAGAAAGAAGGCTGAGCAAGCTAGGGAGAACAAACCAGTAAGCAGCACCCTCCGTTACCTCCTATCTCCAAGTTCCTGCCCTCCTTGAGTTCTTGTCCTGATGTCCTCTAATTATGAACAGGGATGTAGAAGTATAAGCAGAATAAACTCTTTCCTCTCAACTTACTTGTTGGTTATGGTGTAGTGTTGTAGCCATAGAAACCTAAGACACTATGCTCTTTAAGAAATCTAGACTGTTTCCTTGAATAATTTCTTACATTGGCTTAATTTTTTAAAAATATATTTTTGTTTCACTATTGTCTTATTTAGGGTTTTACTGCTGTGAACAGACATCATGACCAATGCAAGTCTGATAAAGGACAACATTTAATTAAGGCTGGCTTAAAGATTCAGGGATTCAGTTCATTATTATTAAGATGTGAGCATGGCAGTATCCATCCAGGCATGGTGCAAGAGGAGCTGAGAGTTCTACCTCTTCATCTGAAGGCTGCTAGTGGGAGACTTACTTCCAGGCGGCTAGGGTGAGGGTCTTAATCCCACACCCACAGTGACACACCTATCCCAACAAGGCCATGCCTCCTAATAGTGCCACTTCCTGGGCCAAGCATATACAAACCATCATAACTATCTTACGTAATTTCTCTGAATTTATAAGATAGCCACACTATTAAATTTTCCTTTTCTTTTTGCTGAAATGGTCTCTCCTATGATGCCCAATGTGGCCTTGAGCTCTCGGATGTCTTGCATCAGCATCTAGAATTTTGAGATTATAAATGTGCACCACCATGCCCTGTCCATAGTATGAGCTGAACACTCAATCCATACAAATGAAGTATTAGAGTCTTACCAATTGACTATAGAACAAAGTTAATTCTGAAATTATGTCCTCCATACTGAC